CGGCTACGTCATCCCGGGGGTAGTCATCCCGGTCATTCCGACGTCTCCTACCCCGGTTTTTGCGATTAGTGCCACGGTCCGATTCCTCAGCGCGGTCGCTGGATCAGCCGGACTCCTGCCCGACCGCGTGCACTTTGCCAGTTGACCGCTTGTCTGTTGCTACCGGAGTTGCCTTCACAGTAGATGCTGACGCATCATCCTCCACTCGAATGTGCTTATTGATGCGCTGCATTAGCTGGCCCATGGATGTCGGCTGGTGTATGGTAAGCGAGTCCCGCAGTTTATGTCCGACCAGGAGACCACGCTTGTATTGTGTAATTGCAAGTTGACCGAGCAATCCAAGATCTCGTTGAAGGTCTTCCAATATCTCGTTGAAGGTCTTTCAATGTGTTGCTCGGTTCTATCTTGACACTCAGGAGGTGATCAACTTCCTTTGGTGTTTTGGTGTTGGTTTTGAAGCGCGTCACAAAGGCTTCGGCCAACTGCTGCCACCTTTCAATGCTCCCTTCCGGCAACCTCTCGAACTATTTCAAACCCAGCTCGCCCAAACTCGATGGGAAGATCAAGCACATAAGAGCGTCATTCCGCCTATGTCCGGCCATGACCTGTCGGAAATGACTTACATGCATATACGGGTCGGTTTTTTCGTCATAGAGCGTGAACTTTGGCTGGTGGAAGCCCGTCGGAAGCGGTGCGGTCTCTATATCCACGGAGAATAGAGTGACACTCAGCCTCGCCAAGTCTGTATCTACAAGGAGAGGCGCGGCTGGGCGAGGTAGAGACATTCCGACCTCCTCGCTAGTGTGAACCCCATAGGATAGCTGCCGTAACGCCGGCACCCTTTGAGCCTCCCGTTGGCGAGCCCGTTCCTTCAAAACTGCCTGCAAATCCTCTGAACGAGCGAAATAAGAGCACCTCGACGTCGTCACCGGACATGAGGGCTGATAAGTGCTATCTTGCGCGTTGGATTTCTCTACATGCACGTCGGAATTTGCTACCTTGTAACTTCTGGTGATAGAAATGGAAGGAGTGTGCCGCTGACTTTGACTGCCTGAATGGCGGGATTGGGTGCGCTCACTGTGGTCTCCCCCTCCAGCTACACCATTCCCTTTGACATGCCGCTTCAGCTCCTCTATCTCCGCCGCCATTTGCCGGATGACGGCGTCCTGGTCCCGTAGCTTGTGCTCCAGATGTTTGGCGTACGATTCTCTCCGCCGTCGATGATCGTCTGGACTCCGTGAATGACCATAACTTCTTCCGCGCTTATCCCGCGCATCTCTTGAATGTCCTCCTGGAGAAGTCTCCAGGTCCGCCATCGGAGGAACGATGGTGGGATGCCTTTCTCTCCGTCTGCCTGACTCCGGGGTAATTCCGTCGATGACAGACAATGGAATCTCCTCGTTGTTCGCCATGGACGACGATCAGATGAGCTTGGAAGACAAGGTTTTGTCTGTCAACTTCCCACAGACGGCGCCAATTGTACGAGGAGTAAATATTCAGGTGAGCCCGTATTCCTTTCTTCCAAGCTTCGTTTCTGTCCGATCACCTGCGTGCACAACAGTAGTGAGCTACTCGGCGGTGTGTGGCCGGAAAATCCCTCCGACGATCAAGTTAGACACACACACAGGGATAGAGAGAGAGAGAGAAGACTGAGTTGAGTGTAAGTATTTCTTTTACCAAATGTTCATCTATCCAGCATGAGGGGCGCAGACTCGCTTATATACATTCTGCGCCCCAAATTTACTCCCATTCGTCTCTCGACACGTGGTGCTGCTATCCCATCTATCAGCACAAATCTTGCTGAACACCACCTAACCAAACTGCCAGCTCACTCTACTGGGAGCTCGGCAGCCGGGCTGAATCTTCTCGGCTATCAACAGCCGTGCTGTGCAGCTGGCCAGAGCGCTCAGCTCGCCGTGCTCAATGAGGACCGAGCTCGTCTGCATCCCGGCATAGCCGAGCTCGGGACAATTCATACTGGTTTTGCCGCCGGCCTTCTTGCCCAGCTAACTCATGAACCGTGGAACAACAACGCCGTTCCTGGCGCCGGACATCTCACTTGCCCGGCCTCTATACCATGCAGCAAAGTAGCTCGGTCTAACCGCGCCTTGCCTTAACCGAGCAAATCCTTTCAGGGCACGGGCCGCGCTACCTCGGCCCAATCTTGTTCGGCCCAAATCTGTTCGACCATTACCATGGCCCAATCCAGATCATAAATTTCCCTTTCAGTATAAAAGCCTATTTTGGGAAGCCAATTAAAATTCAAAAGGTTAATTTTTAATTCATTTTGAGTCACACCATCTCTCGTATTTTTTATAAAAATAAAAAAATTAATTTTCAACAATCTTTTCAAAATAGGTGAAAGATGAGATGATATTAGGAATAATACTAAGGATTGATTTGGAATATTAGCTTTTGACAAATGCTAAATAAGTTTTATTTTTTTATTTTATTTTTTATTTTTACCCTTTCCGTCTGTCTTGTATAAACAAATCTAAAAGTGAAAATTTTAAAAAATTATATAAAAAAAAACTAAAAAAGAAAATTAAGGCTTTGATTGGGAAGTAGTTTTTTATCCAAAAAATTACTACAAGTTATCATATCACTCTCTTTATTTTTTTGTACATCTTTTCATAAAAAATAAAAAAATTAACTAAATTAAGTAATTCCTAAACGAAAAGCATTCACTCTATTTCTACTTATTTTAAATTTTTTAGAATTTTTTAATTTTTTTTTAAAATTTGTGTAGTCAAGTTGAATTTAAAAATATAAATTAAAAAAAAATCACTAAAAATGAAAATAAATCCCCGCAAGGAAAAAACCCCAAACACATTGAAAGAATTTTTTTTAGATAAATAAATAATAAATATTAAAGACTCACAATTTATTATTTACAATTCATACATATTTGTGACAAATCAAAATTAAAACATCAGTACAAATAAAAATAAATAAATAAAAGTATACTAAGGGGTTGTTTGAGGTGTTTTAAATAAGTGTATTTTTTGACTTTTTATGAAATATGGGTTGGGTATGGGTTAAGTTTGAAGTGATATGATAGAGAGGTGATGTGATTTAAATAAGATGATGTGACTTAAATAGGATAGTGACTTTTTGACTTTTTAGATTTTTTTGAGGATGCCAAACTTGGCCTAAAGATAGAAGCAATGTCAATCCTCGGTTAAATCCTTTCAAGTTTTAGGGGTGGTTTAAGATGATATAAATAAATGTACTTTTCGACCTTTTATAAAATATGAGTTGGGTTTAAAGTGATGTGTTAGTGAGATGATGTGACTTAAATAAGATAATGTGACTTAAATAAGATAATAACTTTTTGACTTTTTAATTTTTTTAGATCATGCCAAACAAGGCATTTGCCATGGATTTGGGTGAAGTTAGAGTTATTTTAATTAAAAAAATAAAATAAAATTTTTAATCTCAAATTAAAAGCTATCACATTTAAATTATAATTATTATATATTTTTTAATTTTAAAAAATTAAAAAATCCATCCTAAATAAATTTATTTTAACTTTAAATTAGATTTCGTTTATCAATTATATATTTCAATTAATTTTTTTTTTATAAATTATTATATTACCCTTTATATATTTTTACGTATCTTTTTTATTGAAAGTTTACTATAAGGGGTTGTTTGAGATAACCTAAATAAGTACATTTTTTATCTTTTTACGAAAAGATGAACAGAAAAATAGAGAAATGATATGATGAAAAAAGATAAAAAAATAAATTATTTGAGACTTCCCAAACTTGACCTAAATATCTGCTTCCCAACAATGCCATAAAATAGGCAAAAACTCAAAAAGCAACTTACATTCAAAACGAACCCAAGCAACAACTGAGCGCGATTTTAGGAACATAGTAAAAAGTCATATCTTTAAACAAAATATTCAAAAATGCAAGTGTTAAAAACGTAGGTGTAAAATTATAAATTAGGGTTTATGAAAAAAAAAATAAAAAAATAAAATTCTTATATTGGGTAAGGATATTTTAATCATTTTAATTTGATTTAATACCATAAATAAATATTAAACTAAAAAGTAAAAAATTAACTTTTTATTAACTTTTCAAATCACTTTTTAAAAAATTAAAAAACTTAATAAAAATTCAAAAATTAATTTTTTATCAACTTTTCAAAACACTCTAGATAGATATACATTTTGACGTATAGAGAGAGAAAGTGAGAGTTAGGAGAGAGAAAGAGAGTAAAATTTGACACAGACACTCACATCACGCCACGACAGTCTTCATCTATCAAAAAAAATTATTAAACACTGGGGGTGTTTGGTGCAGCTTTTTTAAGCCAACTTATGGCTTTTGGCTTTTAAAAAGTTATTTTGGACTGTTTGGTTAAACTTATTTCAAACAGCTTCTGATTCTAACAACTTATTTTAAGTCAAAAAAGCTGATTCTGAGAAGCTGCTCACCCCTTGCTTCTGATTATCAGCTTCTGCTGTGGACATGTTAATTCACGGTTATACTCTTAGATTTTTTTATTTTTTATTTTTTTAAAAATAGAAAAAGACTCAAATGGACTATTAAATATTATTATTATTTTTTATGAAAAATGTAGACAAATAGTGAATAATAAAAAATAAAAATTAATTGAAAAAGCTACTTCACAGCTTATTTAACAAACACTACTCAGCAACTTAAATCTATAATCCAACAGCTATACCAAACAGATTAACAGCTTCTGATTAAAGTCATAATCTATAATCTGTTAAGCTATAATCTATAATCTGTTTTAACAGCTACACCAAACAGCACCAAAATATATTCACGTAAAAATTCTTATTTACTTGTTTTGGTTTTTTGTTGAAATGGTGTCAATGTATTAAAATGCTTCTTTTGTAATATATATATATATATATATTAAATTTAATAATAAATACTTGATGACATATCTTTTATTGCTTTCTTGTGAAGTTGTGAACTTGTGATCTAGAAGACTCAAAAAAATAATAATAATAATTTACTGTTGTGTGAAAGAATACCAGTCGAGTTGAGACAGAGACACAGAGAAAGAGAGCGAACCTTTGACTCAGCACCCCCAACCCACGACTACTCCACCTCCCCTCCCTCCTCTCCATATCTCTCTCTCTCTCCGGCATTCTGACCTCATTAATTTTCTCGGGAAAGTGATAGAAAATTCCAACAACTATCTTCTATTCGAAGTCAGCTCGGGTCTTTTCTCATAATCTCCCTCCACGACGACGACTTCCAGCTTTCTCCCGTTTAATGAGCTCCGCTGTTACAGAATTAGGGTTTTTTTTTTTTAACATATATATTTTTTTTATAGTTTTGTTCAACGGAGTGTTCGATTTCGTAGTGCTTAGTTGAGTGAAGAGTTGATGAGGAATCTAGGTTTTTAGCTTCTTCTCATGGATCGAGCTGTCTCTGCGATCTCGGCCTCGGCTCTTCTTTGCCTTTTTCTGGTGATTTCTCGGTTACTACATGTCTCTGGTAATGCCGAAGGTGCGTATTGATTTCTGTTACCCTCGATTTTGACCATTTTTCTGAGTCTATACATGCTTGTTCGATTGTGTTCTTTGGGTATGGACTTTTGCATAATCGAAAATCGGCAATCACTGCATTAATATATTTCTTTAGTTATGAGGTTTGAACTTCAATTGGAGAGTTAGGAGCTATGAATTACTATCTAAGAGTTTGATTATTTGAAAATTAGTTGAATTTGAAACTTGAAATTTGAAGTTTTAGATGAGCTTCTTCACATTATATAATATCGATAGGATCCTATTTATGCACAAATTTTGGTGCTTACTTAGCTTTACTAGTGCAATTTTTATGTGTTCTGCAAATTTCAAATTATCAAAGTGTGTAGATGGATGCCCACTGTAACGCCCCAATTTCTATAACTCTGATTATTGTTAATTAAATCCATAATCACTCCTTTTATTATAATGGATATCTAATAAAGAAGTGATTATGGATTACGTTAATCAGAGTTATAGAAATTGGGGCGTTACACCCACCACGTCGTTGTACTAACCAAATTTGAATTAAGTGGCGGAATTTGGAAATCATCATCTTTGCATGAGTGTTAGAAAATGTGTTGGTTGTTCATGTTCATGTTATTGATGAGCAACTGATGATTGTCTCTTTCATGAAGAACAGGCGATGCCTTGAATGCGCTGAAGACCAACTTAGCTGATCCTAACAATGTTCTGCAAAGTTGGGATGCTACACTTGTCAATCCCTGCACATGGTTGCACGTTACGTGCAACAGTGATAACAGTGTTACAAGAGTGTAAGCCACTAACTTGTGTGACAATTGTTGTGACATGCTTGCTTGTAATGTAACTTCTAGTTGCAATTATTTTTGCTTTCGTACTTCCATTGTCAGTAGTGTGATGACAAATATTGTCTCCGTTTGTGTACACCCCAGTGATCTTGGAAATGCAAACTTATCTGGTCAACTGGTTTCACAACTTGGGCAGCTTCCAAATTTGCAGTACTTGTAAGTCCCACTTCATTGTAGAAAAAATTGTTTCACTTAAATCTATTTTGTTGTTCTTAATGGATTATTCTTGTGGTCATCTCTCTCTCTCTCTCTCTCTCTCTCTCTCTCTCTGTCTCTGTCTCTCTCAGCAACTTATCTTCCTCCCTTTATTTCTTATAAGACCCTGATTTGCAGAGATTCTTCTTTTGTGCTTTCATTTAGTGGTGGTAGCAATAGCTGCACATGCTCTTTGTTTTTCCACATTACTATATTATTATGTTGCTTCTTTGAATGCGGAATGAACTGTAATATTTCCAATAGTTGTATTTAATAAGATCACTCTAATACTGGGACTTTGGGGATTACGTGGTTCAATACGTTGTTCATGCAAAGTTCAAACTTTTTCCATCAATTATAGAAAATAAGGATTCACTTTCAAGATGATGTCTTCACATTGAGCTTTCAATAGGAAATATATACTTTGGAAAATCTAGGAAGCTCTTGATAGTTGATTGCATATGCTTATAACTGTAACGGGTTTTGGGTGATAGACTCTGTTTGGTGTAGTTTATGGTAGCTACTTCTATTTTTTTTTTTTTTCCTTCTTTAAATGTGTGCCAAATTGTTTGGTGCAAGTTATAGCAGGTTATGAGTCAAAAATAACTTAAATAAGCTAAAGAAAGCTTGTCATCGAGAAGCTGGAGGAAGAATGCTTTTTAGGTTCTACTCTCTAATTATCAACTTTCATCTTGCAAGAAGTTGTACCAAATGGGCCCATGGCTAACATTGCTATAATTGTTAATAAAAGTATGGTTTTAGTGTTATGTTTTACCAAATACTTCTTAGGTTCAGAAAATAATTATGTGCAATGTAAAAAATATCAAGGTTACTTTAGTGGAACTCCCATTACTTCCTATACGTAGTAGTCTATAAATCATCTTTTGAATCTTTCATTGTGCTGTGATCAACACTCTCAAGACTTGCTACAAATTTGATAGCGCTACCTAAGTGAAGTCATCACGAAGTAGTAATTCTCTGAGTCCGAGGTTGACCCACAAGGAAAGGGGGATTTAGAGCATGAGTGAATTGATAGAAAGTAAATAAAATAAATTGATTGAAAAGTATTGGGAATCGGAAGATTTGGAATATGGAAATTGTGAGATTAGGTATAAACAATATTTGGGAAGGCGCTAAGTCATTAAGGATCCACACACAACATGCCTATGATTTTTGTTCTTGTTCTATTTGATTGGAAGAGTGTCAGAGCTTTTGAGGACCTAAAGCAAGCAGTTATAGATGACCTCGTATTACAGTTGTCAGATCACACTAAGCCAATTGAAGTAAACACAGATGCATCAGACTTTGTCACAAGCAACGTGCTCGTAGTACAATAAGGTAAACCTATTGCATATGAGAACCAAAAGCTTAATGAGATAGTGAGGTGCAGTCCAAGAAAAGGAGATGACAACAATTGTGCATTACTAGATAATGTGGAGGCTGGTCACAATTCGTGATCAAGACAAATAATGTGGTGACGAGTGACTTGCTTCCCTTGAAGAAATTCATGCCAAAATAGGGATGATAGCAAGCGAGATGAAACTTCCCAAGTTTGATTGATATGATGCTAGAGTATTGTGAATGTAAAAATCATTCTGAGTGAAGGTAATTGGTTGGGGAGAAATAGACTTCCCAACATAGCTTGCAAGCCCTCAAGTGAAAAAATAGAATTAGGGACACGTGCTTGTGCTAGCCTTTGCCAACCCAATAGACTTTTGATGTGGACAAAAGTTCCATAATGGAAAAGCAAGAAGCTTTTGGCCAACAACTACCTCTATATAGGCTTAAGTTAATGAACAATATTTAGACCATTTCACAACCAACGCGAAGGATTAGATCCATACGATTGTGGACTTGTTCTCTTACAAGCACTTGACATGCTTGCTTTAATGTCTCCACACAAGTGGCTTAAGACTAGTCGACTGGCCAGGTGCCCAATTATGCAAGCATAACATGTGCCAGGTTAACTGGATTGCTTATGCCTAAATTAGTAATCCTATAACTAGGAACATTTAAGAATTAAGTAATAAAATATTCGAGTATTTTAACTCTTAAGAACATGTCTTCTCAACTGTAATTCTATAGTCTTGTCATGTATCCAATATCACACAAAAAAACATGATACCAAAATTACCTTTTTGTCAATTAAATGGTAAGCTATTGTACAACATTGTTCCAATCGCATGTTCTAGATTGGCTTTTAGGACACAACGCTAACATGTAATTCATAGTTCATAATAATGAAGAATACTTTGTACTAGTATAAAGGAATGTGGTGGCCAGGCAAGTTATTGTGCGTTATTCAACCGTTGCATTGCTAGCTTTTGGAATCATTTACAACTTCATCTGCAACGGTGTTGGATGTGTTTTGACTTCCCTTGAACACGTTCATCATGACCTGTGTGATTGTGTTTATTTGCATCTTTTAAGTTGAGGGAACTGACCTCTAGAACAAAGTTATAAATTTGTATTATTTTTTCGTGTTAGTTTATCTGAAAAATGGTAGTTCATGGTTGGTGATGTCTGTAGCCTCTCCTGTTCCCCTGCATTCATCTTGCTATTGTTGCAAAATTTTCCTCTTGTTTCAAGACTTGAATCTGGAATTTATGTGCTTTAATATGTCTTGATATATCTGACTTGAAGTTTCCTTCTAATATTAACCTCTGTCCTGGTTTTATGTGCTGTTATCGCATTATTGCATATAGATGTTTAATTATGGTTCGCTTTTTCTTCTTTATTTTATTTTATTTTTAACTTGCAATCTGATTTTTCTGCATGCTTCTCTGGTTTCATTTTGTTATTAACATGTTTCTGTTACAGGGAGCTTTATAGTAACAACATAAGTGGAAAAGTTCCCAATGAGCTTGGGAATTTAACAAATTTGGTGAGCTTGGATCTTTACCTGAACAATTTGAATGGTCCCATCCCGGACACATTGGGCAGGCTTCAGAAATTGCGTTTCCTGTATGAATTACACACTTTCTACTTTTATTGTTAAATTTATTGCGCTTTACCTCTCAAAATGACAAGGGAGAATATGTATTAAACCTAAATATCAGGGGTTGTCAATTTGATTTATGCTTTTTAAAACTCTTGGATTGTGGCTTCGCATAGTGTTTCCGAAAGTATTTGGACTTCTAATTTCTGAATCCATAAATTAATATGAATCTGGACTGCATATAATGGAAGCAAACTTCATTTTGAGCCATCTTGCTCACTAAAAATCCATCAATATCTTTTTTTTAGTTGTAATACATAGCATAGCATGACTCTGATTTTGAAGGAAAATTAATACTAAGTTGCAAAACTTATCTGCATGCCTCTTAGTGTTAGAACCAAAGTTCTAAAAGGCTTTACTAAGGCTCGCCTTGAAGCGTTTTGGCGAGGCTAAGGCAAAACGCCTCAAGGCTTTGATTTTTAGATTTTACTCCCCAAAGGCTTGCTCACACAGTCTGAGATGTGCGCCTTAGGTGCGTCTTGTATGCTTTTTATGCATAAGCATGTGAGAAGTACGCATATAAAGAGTTTGTCTTAGGGTCTTGTTAAACTTAGTCTAGTAGATGGTTTAGACATAAAAAAAATAAAAAAGAACCCCTTGTGCAACTATAATCTATAGAAAAATTAAGTAAATTACCAATTAAGAAAAAGCACAAAGTAAATGCTTAGTGAGAAGCTCAATCACTAAAATTTAAAGAATACCAATTTCACTTTCAACAAAACAAAACTTCTTTGAGCCTTAAGCAAAAAAGTATTTACACCTTTATATTTAATTTTGATGTATTTATTTATTATTTTAAAATATTTAAATTATTTATTAAATATAAAAATTTAAAATTTGAAATGCTTGTGCCTCAATGCCTTAAGGTTTACGCCTCGCCTCATGATGAGGAGTAAAATGCCTCACGTTACGCATTCACCTTTAATATATGTCTCATTTTCGTCGTAAATTATAGAAGAAGATTTTGGAAATATTGCAAGAATTCTAGCATAAATACATTGTACAAATTCCTTCTTTCTTGCAAGATCAGGCACCTATTGGATGAGCAGGAGGAAAAAGGTGTGGGTTATGGGCACTGTTGAGGGAGTGGAGAATTCAGTGCACATTGTAAAGAGAGATATTTTTTGTTTTATTTATTGTATAGTTGGATGACGGAATATGGTTTAGTTGGGTGAGAATGGGTGAATATTTATTTTGATTCTTTTTTGGATTTTGTTGACTCGGAATTTTGAGGAGATATGGAGAAGTATTTCCTTTTGTTTTCATGTGTGGTGCTCAGCACCTTTTTTTTTATATATAAAATTTTGTTTAAGAAAGGGCAGGCACTTGTTTGGACAACAATCCTATACATCCATCATAGTTGTTGATTACCCAAGGTTCAACTGTTTTGTAAATTGTAATGACAAATAGGATCACATTGAACGCAATGACAGTACCAAGCTCTGTTATTTTACTTTTATTTTGTGAATCTACTATTTATTTGTATCTAGCAAATAGGATTAGTTGCAGAGAGTGCCTGTCTGATTGTATGTTGAATTTGTTATGCGCATCTGAAAGTTGTTTCTAAGTCAATTTTCCCTCATAATTTTACTAATGGATGACTATTGTGATTGGTTGGAACACACCATGGTCTGGTCCATGTATTTCTCTGCAAGCATAGGCGGCTCAACAACAACAGTCTGACTGATAAAATTCCCATGTCGTTGACTACTATCACATCACTTCAAGTCCTGTGAGTACCAAGTCTATGTATTTTTCTTTTTATTATTATTATTTTAATGAATAGTTAAGGTGGTTTCTTCTTTGCTTTTTTCTTCTTGTTTTATTTTTTATTAGTTTTGATTGGCATAATTTATTACAAAATATGATAATATAGCTTTCTTTCCAAATGGAACACAGTGATCTGTCAAACAACCGTTTAACTGGAATAATCCCAGTTAATGGCTCCTTTTCACTATTTACTGCCCTCAGGTTTGTTTCTAGTAACATATTTTTCTATAGTAGTGGAGTTGGGTGAGTCGTCTAGATATATGCTAACAACCATATTTCCATTTTTCAGTTTTGCTAATAATTTGTTGCAAACTCCCCCGGCTTCTCCACCACCTCCACTTCCACCAACCCCGTCTGCTTCTTCAGGTTTGTTACATTTATGTTTATTTTCGTCATTATCCCTAATATGTTGCTGATAGTGGGTTGTGTTGTGTTTCCCAGCACATTTTATTCTTCTATCGTCAAGTTAGGAACTTCTGCCCATGATACCTGTTTCAGACTTTGTCACAGATTACTTGGCTGGATTTGTAAATTGTCTGTCTTTATAATTCTTTCTTTCATGTATTTCTAAATTTACGGATGAAGAAACTTCATACACATCAATGTTTTTGAAGCAACTATACAAAAATGAATTGCATTTGCATTGGATTCCTTATCCAGTATGGGTAGGTTTTTAAATTCCCCACATATCTATGATGCACAGACAATACCATTTAGTTTTCCTAGAAAAACCTCCACAATCACTTTTGTATAAATCATTGGTCTCAAAACTGTCAGTTTTAAACTTGATGTAGGTTGCACTTTATTTCAATTACACCTTTCTTTAGATTAACAGCTTGTGAGTGAGTGGTTGCTTCGCACTAGACTTTGCACCCGTATGGTTTAAACCATTGCATTGTTCACTTCTATGGAATTGGCTTTTAGTCGAATGGTTCGTTGGTGATGATGGGAATGCACACAAGTAATTAACTTACATATCTGCAATTGTAAAATGTTGTTTCGGTAGGAAATAGTGCCACCGGAGCCATTGCTGGAGGGGTTGCTGCTGGTGCTGCCCTGCTGTTTGCTGCCCCTGCAATCGCACTTGCTTATTGGCGACGAAGAAAACCAGAGGATCATTTCTTTGACGTACCTGGTTAGTGGGCTAAATAGAAAATGGCTTAAATTGATTGTTATGGTTTTGTATCTAATGCATTTTGCCTTTACTTCTCTTTGCAGCTGAAGAGGATCCAGAGGTTCATCTAGGACAGCTCAAGAGGTTTTCCCTGCGTGAACTACAAGTTGCAACAGACAATTTTAGCAATAGAAATATTCTAGGAAGAGGTGGATTTGGTAAGGTCTACAAAGGACGCTTGGCTGACGGCTCTCTTGTGGCTGTAAAAAGACTAAAAGAGGAGCGTACTCAAGGTGGGGAGCTACAGTTCCAAACAGAAGTAGAAATGATCAGTATGGCTGTTCATCGAAATCTACTACGTTTACGTGGATTTTGCATGACGCCCACGGAACGGTTGCTTGTCTATCCCTACATGGCCAATGGAAGTGTTGCATCATGTTTAAGAGGTACTTGTTGGCCTCTTCATGTGCTTTCTTTTCTAATTTGTTTATCATAAAAATTAAAATTTTAGTTGATTTAATGCAATCTACTTTATTTGTGTTTCAATTGACAATCTGACTTCAAGTCCATCAAATATAATTCTCAGTTTATGTTGCAAAGGAAACCATAAATATTTGTCTACAGATCTGAAATTCTGAAGGTTTGAAAACTATGCTTGGCCCAAAATTTTAGCAAATGTTGGAACTTTTGGAAATCAAAATTTAGAATCTGTTCCTCACCCTGCTTAATCTCTAAAATGATCTCATGGTCTAATTGGTGCATTGCTGTAGACCGACCTGAAACACAAGTCCCACTTGATTGGCCAATAAGGAAGCGAATTGCATTGGGATCCGCAAGAGGCCTTGCATATTTGCATGATCATTGTGACCCAAAGATCATTCATCGTGATGTCAAAGCTGCAAATATATTATTGGATGAGGAGTTTGAAGCAGTTGTTGGAGACTTTGGGTTGGCTAAACTTATGGATTACAAGGATACCCATGTTACCACTGCTGTACGGGGCACAATTGGGCATATTGCCCCTGAGTACCTCTCCACCGGAAAATCTTCAGAGAAAACGGATGTTTTTGGGTATGGGGTCATGCTTCTGGAGCTCATCACTGGACAGAGGGCTTTTGATCTTGCTCGGCTTGCCAACGATGATGATGTCATGTTGCTAGATTGGGTAAGCATTTATCACACTCGCAATCTGTTTGTATTATGTTAGCACATTTCTTAAGTTGGATATCTTCGTATGATTGATTGAGTTCATCTTAAGAGCCTTTTCTGAAAGCTGCTTTCAATTTCTTGGCAAAGCTGTTATTGTGTTGCTAATATGATTCAATGAGTCGAGCAATATTCATGATGGTATTAAAATTATCTCCCTTAACGCATTTAAAACAAAGTTCTTGACAATTTCATTGAAGGAAATTTTCATCATGATCTGCAGGATTTGCAATATGATGTTTTTAAATGCTATGAATTTTAAAGTTGTCTCCATTGGCATTAATATCTTTGGTCTCTCCAATGAGCACTTATTATTTAGTGTGACATCTCTGAAAATTTCAGGTAAAAGGACTTCTGAAAGAAAAGAAGTTGGAAATGCTAGTTGACGAAGATATGCATGGTAATTACATCAATGAAGAGGTAGAACAACTAATCCAGGTGGCATTGCTCTGCACACAAGGCGCCCCATTGGAACGCCCCAAAATGTCGGATGTTGTCAGAATGCTCGAAGGTGACGGATTAGCTGAGAGGTGGGAAGAATGGCAGAAGGAGGAGATATTCCGCCAAGAATATAACCATACCCGACAACCAAATGCTGATTGGATCATCGCGGACTCCACTTCCAATCTCCGCCCAGATGAATTGTCCGGTCCCAGATGACCCTTTTGTTGTCAAATGCGATATTTTCATCTTTGTGCATATGATTTTCTTCTATTTTCTTTTTTTTTTCTTTTTTCAAAGTCAAGTTTGTATCATGTTCGGAGTTTTGATGATGATATGTCGTCGTGTCTATAAGGTCGCCGGTACATGGCATTATGAATTTTCAGGTGCAAGAAAAAAATCATGGCTTGAAAGGGCCGTGGAGGCACCAGTTGTACGTTTATGTTTATGTATCCAAAAACAAATTACACTAATAAATAAATAAATACATTCTTTTGTCCAGAGGCAAATCGCAACCCCTGTTTTCTATTCGTAGAGTACCTCGTAAAGCTTTTTTTATTTTGTTTTCTTTTTTTTTGGTGCTTCGGGTTTTTTTTTTTTTTTTTTTTCATTTTTTAGAAAATGCAAAAATCTCACTCATAGCCACCGACTTGCCAACACCACGCAACCAGTATCATAACAACAAAGAGGAAGGGCTTGTTGTCTTTCATTCTACTCTCACTCTCAGTCAGCACATGTTTGATTGGGTAGATTATAACATAAATTTAGGATTATTAAATGCATAGAACTCACATTCTATTATTTGATTATAATGTTTTCTTATTTAGAGAATATTTAATTTCTATCTAACAAAATCAGTGATTTTTTTAATCATACAATTAAAGATGCAAAACAAGCGTGAACAAAAGAAAATTATTAATCTCACTAATCTATCTATATAACCAATCTTACATTAACCTCATTGATTATTAGTTTCTTTACTATTAATAGTCTTAATCAAATATGGCCGCATTGAAGAAAAAAAAAAATGAGCTGTGAGATGCTTGATTAAACATTAATCCGTTTGGTTTAGTTTTAGAATTATGATTTGAATGTAGAGTTGTTTTTAAATTTTGAGTTTTTGAATTATGATTTGAAAAGAAAAATTTTGTTTAGTTATGAATTTTGAAAATAATTTTAGAATGATTTGCAATTTTTTTTTTGATTAATTGATGTATAAAATGTAAAAGAATGTAAGAGGAGAGAAAAAATAATTGATTGATTGAATAATAATATAATAAAAAGATAAGAAAAGAGTTTTGAAAGTAATTTTGAATTGTATTTTAAAAATATATTTAGTTAACATGCTTCATCCAAATCATAATATAAAAATAGAGTTGAGTTTTGAAAAATAAACCAAACGCTGCCTAAATTATTATATGCTTTCAACTTATAAACACCCTCAATTCCAGAAAGACAAAAAAACATCACTCAAGCTGCAAAAAAGCACAAACCGTAAATCACAACAAATTTTGAAACTCACCAAAGTACTACAAACTCATATGAGACCAGATACTTTAGTTCCAATAAAAGTATTTTTTCATAATTATTTCCCAACTAGTTCAAATCTGAAAATCTGAAAATTTGTGTTAATATGTTCTTAATTGGCTTGCAACTCTTATATGCTATTTTTCTTGAACGTTTAAGTCTTGATATGTAAATTATGATAAATTGTGAATTTGTTTTTGTCACGCTCTCAAAATAATATAATAAATACAACCCAATCAAATGTTAATAACTGCATAAATCAGAGTAAACAATCCTTTCATTTCATGAAAGTTAAAGATACAAAAGAGTTTAACAAAAATAAATACTCTATTGGCTTACACCTTTCCAAGCCTTAACTTGGTTACAACAAAAGTAAGCTTTGCTCATTACATCTTAAGCCCTTTAGCTTTACAAAAATATACAATCAAAATAAGAAGCTTTTGCTCAAAAAAATTCTCCCAACGCTATTGCCTTGGTAGAGGTAAGTCACCAATACTTGAAAATATTATTCCGAAATAGGGTGAGCCACAGCTCAGTAGGAATCATCTAATACAGTATATGAAATTTAGCAAAGGTATAAGTACAAGAGTGTATACAATGTCTATGATAAAACATCTACAAATTTATATATATGAAAGGTACCATATTCAAATCTTAACCCATTTTCCTTCAATTCATATTCCGTTCACTTATCTTTCTCAATTTATGAGTCAAATTCGTAATTTCTTTAACAATTCAAATAAGACCACAACTCAATGACTTTCAAATCATACAACATATATACATTAACACTTCAAACTTCCATTTCATGAATATTTCGTTCGCGAACAACCGTTAAAAGGGACCCATGTAAACGTAGGCTATACAAGCACTACAATTGCCATTTAACGGATATTTCGTCCGCGGGCTAGGCATCCATGTATAATTTCGGGACTTTCACCCAAGACACTCCGGCAAACTTAGTTATAATGGAGTCCATCCATTTTCTCCTCCCAAACAAACATACATATACAATGTATTTAAACACAAAATCAAATAATGGAGTACATCCCCTTTCCACTCCCACATAATCATACATGTACAATGTATATAAATATAGTCATATTTAATGACAACCAACCATGGACTAGTTTCAGTTCACCTAATCCACATGCAATTTCTACAACAAGCAAAAATATCCTCCACCGATAGCCCAATACAGATCCTTCTAAACAAATATACAATCTCATGACAAATAATTTATCCAAAATTTCCAAAGATGTGAAGTATTACATATTCAATTCTTTTATCTACTCCACCACTTGCTCAATTTCATATTTACCTCACCAGTTTCAATTATTTATATAAAATAATTATGATAGTCAATTTAGGGCAAAAATCTCCCTTTTCAAATATTAACTCAAGCATCAAACTCAACTATTTTGACCCAACATAATTTCATTTTCACAACCCACATTCATTTATTTCATATTGTTAGGTTTTTACTTGGCAATCCTGGTTGACAAAATTCCTTTCAATTGTACTTGCTTTCGCACTTTTTATTTCAGTGAGGTTATGAGTTTTTAGATGCGAATCCAACCTGAATTGTGCCTTGCAAAGAAGTTTGTGATGTTAATGCTTTCAAAATTGCCACTTTGCTGACTATGACGGGGATTGAGCTGCCCGGTCAGCTCGCGGGGGTCGAGGGGGCAGGGCCCCTTGGCGGGTTCGGGGTAGCGCCCAGGCGGGGTCTAGGGGCAGCGCCCCCGAAACAAAATGTAAAATTGCATTCGAAGTTGCATGTCCGCCCTTGCTTGCTCGAGCGAAGGAGTTCGCGCTCGAGCGAAGAACTGCGTCTGGCAAAAACCTAAAAGAGATGAATGTGCTCTCGAGCGAAGCTTGCATGGCTCGAGCGAAGAAGTGCGTCTGCATAAAAACCTAAAAGAGTTGATTGTTTGCTCGAGCGCAGGATGCGTGGCTCGAGCGAAGCAACTTATGGAAAACACGAGTTTTAAGTTCCTCGCTCGAGCGAGAGAAGCTTCGTTTGAGTGAGCTTCGCAGTCCCAGATTTCTATAAGTATTTGTTTTAGTCCAAAACTAGGATTACTTCTTCAGATCTTCTTTTTGGATATTAAGGTTTATATCTGGGGATATTTTGCTAGTTTTCTTTGATGTTTAATTGAGTATTCAACTCATGGGTTAAAAAGAATACATCAAAGGTTTGTTTGTTCATTCTATACAAAAGAGAGAGTTGTTATTCGGTAGATTCTGAAGAATTTGAGCCTAAAGCTTTGGTGGATTCTAGAGTGGCTCATCGTCAAAACAATTCTGAGGTGAAGATGGGGCTGGAAGAGGCATATAGGGGTTGGTTCAATTCGGGCGTGGATTCGCTAGGTAATTGAGAGTATACCTGTGTAATTCCTTTATATCTTCTTAGTGAATTGTTTTGTGGCTGTTGCCCGTGGTTTTTTTATCATAATTGGAGGTGCTCTAATTGTGATTTTTTCACGTAAAATCGGTGTGTCGATTGTCTTGACTGTTTGATTGGGATTGTTATTTATTGCTTAAAATTGATACATAATCACAAATCAATATCTAGGGAATTTCTAGATTTTTCAATATTCAACAACAATCCCTCTTTCCATATTATACCCAAACCCTAGGTATGCTTGAAACACCCCCAACTCACATTATTGTTACACAAGAGACAAATAACTAAGTTAAATATCATATGAAGGTGTAGAAAAATCCTTACCTCAAAGAGAAGACCAAGCAAAGTAAGAGAGAAACCTCAAAGATGTCGAAAACCAACTCCAATCAGATCAAAATGTAGATCTTGAAACACTCTACCTTTTTCTCAAAGGCACTAGGGTGAAAAGATCAACGGATCTAGATGAAATCTAAGAGAGAATGTGAGTTTTAGAGAGAGAAAGTGTAGATCTAGGTTTTTAAGAAGTTCTAGAGAGAGAGAGAGAGAAGTGAAAAAGTGATACAAAACCTTATCTTCATGAACTGTTATATACGCAATCCGCTCGAGCGTGGAAAGTGACGCTCGAGTATTAGACACAAAAGTCCGCTCGAGCATAGAATACACACTTCCAAAAGTTTTGCAAACGAAGGCCCCTGCTCGAGCGTGAGACTGGACACTTGAGCGTCCAATGTACTTTTCCAGTATTTACAAGTCTGCAAAAATACTGAGAGTTGACAAATCTCGCTTGAGCGCAAGAATGGCTGCTTGAGCGGAGGAGCAAAATTTGTGAAGCCCGCTCGAGCACAAGAATACTCGCTCGAGCGGAAGAGCCAAAATCTGGGCATCACAGTTTTGAAAAAACAAGCAACCAACCTGTTTCAAACGCACAATTACAACCCGATAACCAAAATAAAATGGGAGACAAAGGGAACAAGATATGAATAACTATTCTAAACCATACCAACCCAAGTCCGGAATACAATAGATAACGGGTCAAAATCAGAATCGTTATAGTTTTACCATGCATAAATTACTTTATGTTTAGTTTGGCTTCGTAATTATCTTGACCATGTTTTGCTATAACTGAGAATATAATACACTTAATAAAGGGGAAATCAAATGGGGTGGCAATGGGTTGTGATCATTGTTCTAAATTTTATGGGATAATGAATGATGGATTCAAAAGTATAATATAGTGGAATGTATTCCATTTTGGTGAAGTTTTGCACAAGTGTGTTTTCGAACCCTAACATGGCACGGGAGGTATTCTAGTTGCTTAACGAAATTGAGAGGTATAAGGGTGGCAGTGAGGGTCTCACACAAGGAGAGTATCCCTAGAAGCTCGTTCCCTTGGGACAGACCGTGATGTCACCACTCGGGTATATAACCTAAGTGCGTGGGCATCATTAGTAATTGTGCAGTAAGCGACGCACTGGTGATTATGCGGCAAGGGACGCATAGATATTGTATTAACCAAGAGGGAGTCAGAATTTGTCCATGGCTAATGTTAGTAGTTGGGTAGGAACGACACTCTGCAGG